CAGCGGTTCTTTAACCCTTGCAGTGGGGTAGGGGGGTCACCCGCGGTTCTTTAACTCTTGCAGTGCGGGGGGGGAGGTCACCCGTGGTTCTTTAACCCTTGCTGTCCGGGGTCACCCGCAGTTCTTTAACCCGTGCAGTGAATGGGAATCGGCTGTCTGCAGCAGAGCTGACGATCCCTGTTTTGGTCAGGTTCGTGTTTCAGGCCCAGGCAGAGTATTGCGGTGCGTTGCAGGACATGCGTTCTTTGTATTAGGGAAGCCCATTCATTTTAAATGGACCGATGTGAATGTGCATCACAACGCACACAGGATTCACATCTGCAGCCTGCCTAGGAACACCCACTGCTCCAGACCGACCCCCGTCCATCAAGCCATTTTGATATTTGCATAACTCCTCCCAAAAGCCAGCCCACTGCTTACATTCAGGCTCTTGAGTATTGAGGCAGGGTGCTATGATGTCATCAGGAAGCTATATACAGCACCCTGCCATCATCAGCACAGGGACAGGTGATGACATTTGGGACTAGAATAAGGTATACGATGAGAACAGAAAAGCTAAAAATGAGAAATGCCCGTAGTATATTAGTAAGCAGTGTAAAACTGCAGCATGCCCCACTTTTTATTCAGCGCACCCCATCGCAGTGCATTGGCGTGATCTGAACTCATGTGGCAAATTGCATTATCAAGCATCAGGCAATGATGCCCAAAGCATATGGTGAGCACAGGCCCTAAATATGGGTGTCACATGATCCCCCAAAAATGGACTGATCCTTAAGGATTCACACAGCCTGGGAGACGCAGGAGCACAATAACACAACAATATCCTTCTCCATAGACCGTCCCTCATGATCTGATCTTTATCTTATGTCTATGGACAGCCTGAGGTGTAAACATTGCTCATTATACCCCCAAATTATCTACCACACCCCCGCCCCCCACCTATAGGATGGCAGATGGTGGCCGCGGGCGGACACACAGCACAGTCCACATCGGTCAGCTGAGCACCCAGTGACGTCACGGCCAGCCGGGACACACATATATGGAGAGACCCGCGAGCCCGTCCTTGTCTACGTCACCCCCGCCACACAGTCTCGGCACGGCAGGCCTCACACACCCCCGGGACAGCCGTGAAGAAGATGGACACACACACAGAGCATTCATATCACAGCCGATACTCACCCCTCTCGTCTCCGTTGTCTGCCCGCCTCCCTACCTCGCGCGCTCCCGCAGCCTCCCTTCGCGACGTCACCACGCAATGCGTGCGCACGGACAAGACACTCAGCAAACGAGGAAGGAAAAGCGCATGCGCACAAAACGGGACACCAGCGTCACCTGGTGGTAGTAAAGTAGCACTGCTAACTATGCCCTCGATTCTATGACAACGCACCCATGCTATAGGGAGGAGCATTGGCTTTGTATTTTGCATTTTTTTTCTTTGGAGAAATACCAGTCACCTGGCTGTCATGCTGTTCCATGTTTTGCTTTACACTATAAGAGGGAAATAATAATAAAGTGTGAGGCAAACTTTGTCTCACATGGAGTGCAGCCAATCAGCTTTCAATTTTTCTTTTTTTATTGTTGTAGGGCTAAGGGGGAAAAATTAAAAGATGGAATCTGATTGGTTGCTACCAACCGCAGCACCACTTGAGGTAGGAGTTGTCTCAGATGCATTGAAAATGACATACAGGCTGCATATTGCTGCAACGCACCGTAGGCGGCCTGATGTCACAGCCGGTCAGGTAGACCCTAATGTGCGTCCTCCAGCGGGTAATGCAGCACATGAGGTGTGAATCCAGCTTCAAGCCAGGCGGCATGCATTTTAAGAATGAGGAGTTCAAAAGTGGCAGCAGTAATGTGATAAATACACGTGACCCCCCAATTTTCCCCCTTTCCCAAGATATCCCTGCCCACTTCCTTCACATATCCCACAAACCCCCTTCTTCCTCCTCCTCTTTTGTCCCACTCATATACTCCCCTCCCTCTGCAGCCACCCCATCCCCCTGTCCCCCTATCTTCTTCTTCCTCCTCCCCCCTTATGTCCCACTCATATACCCCCCTCCCTCTGCAGCCACCCCATCCCCCTGTCCCCCTATCTTCTTCTTCCTCCTCCCCCCTTATGTCCCACTCATATACCCCCCTCCCTCTGCAGCCACCCCATCCCCCTGTCCCCCTATCTTCTTCTTCCTCCTCCCCCCTTATGTCCCACTCATATACCCCCCTCCCTCTGCAGCCACCCCATCCCCCTGTCCCCCTATCTTCTTCTTCCTCCTCCCCCCTTATGTCCCACTCATATACCCCCCTCCCTCTGCAGCCACCCCATCCCCCTGTCCCCCTATCTTCTTCTTCCTCCTCCCCCCTTATGTCCCACTCATATACCCCCCTCCCTCTGCAGCCACCCCATCCCCCTGTCCCCCTATCTTCTTCTTCCTCCTCCCCCCTTATGTCCCACTCATATACCCCCCTCCCTCTGCAGCCACCCCATCCCCCTGTCCCCCTATCTTCTTCTTCCTCCTCCCCCCTTATGTCCCACTCATATACCCCCCTCCCTCTGCAGCCACCCCATCCCCCTGTCCCCCTATCTTCTTCTTCCTCCTCCCCCCTTATGTCCCACTCATATACCCCCCTCCCTCTGCAGCCACCCCATCCCCCTGTCCCCCTATCTTCTTCTTCCTCCTCCCCCCTTATGTCCCACTCATATACCCCCCTCCCTCTGCAGCCACCCCATCCCCCTGTCCCCCTATCTTCTTCTTCCTCCTCCCCCCTTATGTCCCACTCATATACCCCCCTCCCTCTGCAGCCACCTCATCCCCCTGTCCCCCCTTCTTCTTCTTCCTCCTCCCCTTATGTCCCACTCATATACCCCCTTCCCTCTGCAGCCACCTCATCCCCCTGTCCCCCCTTCTTCTTCTTCCTCCTCCCCTTATGTCCCACTCATATACCCCCTTCCCTCTGCAGCCACCTCATCCCCCTGTCCCCCCTTCTTCTTCTTCCTCCTCCCCTTATGTCCCACTCATATACCCCCTTCCCTCTGCAGCCACCTCATCCCCCTGTCCCCCCTTCTTCTTCTTCCTCCTCCCCTTATGTCCCACTCATATACCCCCTTCCCTCTGCAGCCACCTCATCCCCCTGTCCCCCCTTCTTCTTCTTCCTCCTCCCCTTATGTCCCACTCATATACCCCCTTCCCTCTGCAGCCACCTCATCCCCCTGTCCCCCCTTCTTCTTCTTCCTCCTCCCCTTATGTCCCACTCATATACCCCCTTCCCTCTGCAGCCACCTCATCCCCCTGTCCCCCCTTCTTCTTCTTCCTCCTCCCCTTATGTCCCACTCATATACCCCCTTCCCTCTGCAGCCACCTCATCCCCCTGTCCCCCCTTCTTCTTCTTCCTCCTCCCCTTATGTCCCACTCATATACCCCCTTCCCTCTGCAGCCACCTCATCCCCCTGTCCCCCCTTCTTCTTCTTCCTCCTCCCCTTATGTCCCACTCATATACCCCCTTCCCTCTGCAGCCACCTCATCCCCCTGTCCCCCCTTCTTCTTCTTCCTCCTCCCCTTATGTCCCACTCATATACCCCCTTCCCTCTGCAGCCACCTCATCCCCCTGTCCCCCCTTCTTCTTCTTCCTCCTCCCCTTATGTCCCACTCATATACCCCCTTCCCTCTGCAGCCACCTCATCCCCCTGTCCCCCCTTCTTCTTCTTCCTCCTCCCCTTATGTCCCACTCATATACCCCCTTCCCTCTGCAGCCACCTCATCCCCCTGTCCCCCCTTCTTCTTCTTCCTCCTCCCCCCTTATGTCCCACTCATATACCCCCCTCCCCATCTCCGGGACACTCTGCAAATGTACAGATTGAATTCTGTGCTCCGCCCTCTGCAGGCAGAGCTGCCATTCACACAATTATAATATAGCTGGATGCCAATGTGATTTCGTGGAAGAGGTGTCACAGTCACCTGCAGGGCCGAATTTCCATCACTGGAGCCCGTAGGCACACAAGCTTGCCATCCAAAGCCAACACCCCTCCGGAGGGATCGGCTCTTTAATGAAGTGCAATTTCTTGTTCGGCTGGTTCTAATCCGGCCCAGCATACTGCGACTGGCGATGAGCCAAAACGCGTCAGGGATTCAGTGACCTTGATATCCAGAAATCCGGGTTCACCGAACGTCCAAGTATGTGAAAACACAGGGCCGCCTGTGTGTTAGCGACCAATGAATGCAACGTTCCCAACTCCCCCCTGTTTTACATGCATTGCTTTCCATGTAAGGTGCATTTGCTGCAAGTCGCATCAAAGATGCAGAACTGCTCCTTCCAACGCAACGCAGCTGTAAGCTAAAGCACGCAGACATGAACCATATATAATTTACTGAGCCAGCCATGAAGACAGAGGATGTGCGGGGGGCTTGGCGTGTTGGCGTGAAGTTAGCCCAAGCCTGTGCAAAATGGGCACTGCTCGTTCAGTGTATGACGTCACCGTCATGTGACGTCATGCACTCTGCCTCCAAGATGGGGGCAGAATGCGCCGGTGGCCAATATATATGCCCAAATATAGTTTTCATATATTCGGGCGTATCATGGCAGTGATCCCAACCTGAAAGAATCAATTTCAGGGAGGTGCCCTCCCCCTCCCCCCATCCGCGGAGGGGGGGGTTAGGGGGGACTGGGAGAGAGCACCCCCCTGAAATGATGGCAGATAGCACAGTAGCTTCTTTGTTATCTGCAGGTTTTTTTTCTGATTTTTTTTTAGTATTCTGACAGTTGCAGTCGTCAGAATAATTAAAAAAGGCATACCTTTTTCTGACTGACGGTCGGGCCGCGGCTCCCGATGTCAGAAAAGAAAAAAAAAAACGATCGCAGGGAAAGGTCGATCGAGCAGATAGACCTTTCAGGGAGGAAGGGTTTCTCTCCCGGGCGGCCGGGAGCCGCTATCTAATAGCGGGAGACTCCCGGAGCGTCCGGGAGAGTTGGGATGTCTGTAATTGATTCGCTATTTCGGATTCGGACGAACCGCCGAACCAACTGAATTTCGTTGAATCCGAATGCACATGTCTAAGCCCTCGTTCACACCTGACCGTTTTGTAGCGCGTTCTACGCTCGACGAACGCTCTACAAAACGGTCAAAAAAATAAATTGCATTGTAGTCAATGGGTCTCGTTCCCACCTTGCCGTATTTCCGCCCGTCCCTAACGCCCTACAAAACGGCCCACGCCTGAAAAGGTCCAGGTACTACTTTGGGCCGTTTTGTAGTGCGTTTTCAATTGGGATACAGCCAAGTAGCCTTCGGAATCGCGCGACGATCGCGCGACTTTTTACCGCGAATCGCGGTAAAAAAACCGCGCGACGATCGCGCGGCAGACGCGCTTATGCAATACGCCTAGGTGTGAACTAGGGTAATCCAGCCCCTAGACCAAAGTGAGCAGTTAACCCGCGCACATCCTGGAGTTCCTAAAGATGTTCAATCCTATTTGAATGATGTCACTGGGGTGCTGAAGACTGAGCTCGTAGGTTGTACAATGCTAATGATTATTGTGAGTTAACAAAATGTCAAGTTAATGTAAAATTTAAACCTGAGTAAAGGGCCGCAACCAGAACACTCGCACATCCATTTGTCTGAGGTGTTCTGATCTTTATTTATTGTTTTTAAATGGAGTATTTTTTTTTTGGGGGGGGGGTATAGCGGACATGTACTGAGAATGTTTTTGTGGAGTCGGGAACCTCCTTGACGTACACGGAGGCACAGATAACATTTTTGGATTGTCCGGAAGGATTTTGGGATTGAAGAGCTGTCATTATGAGGGTTATTCACAAAGCTGCAGAAGGCAGCCGAGTGAATAACCCAGCCGAAGTTGTTCGGCTATTCACTTCAGGCTGGTACACCTGTTTTGAGCCGTACACCAGCTGGCTTCGGCTGCACTTCGGTCAGCTAAACATGCTCTGCATGTTCGGCTGAGCCGAAGGGTAGAAGGACTTCGACTCAGCCAATCCAACATCTGGATCGGCTGAGCCGAAGCTCCGGCAGCTTTCTCGCTGCCATTCACCCCTATTCACATAGCCGGCTTGGCTATTCTGCTCGGTACCTCTGTGGTACCGAGCAGAATAGGAACTCAATGAAAAAAGTAGAAAGAAAAAAAAGTAGAAAAAAAAAAAGTTAAACTTAATTAAAAATGTAACTAAATAATAAATGTAAAAAAATAAATAAAGATTTTTTAAAAAGAAAAAAAGAAAATAAAAAAAAGCAATAGGGTGGAGCTAGCAG